AAACCCCAAAACTCTAAACCCAAAACCCAAACAGAGCTTGTCTGCACCATGGCAACCCAGGCTCGCTCGGCATGCCACCGCCAGAGCGGAGGCAGAGTCCCTGGCCAAGGCATGCGACCTGCAAGTTTAGGGTTTAGGGATTTAGGATTTAGGGATTTAGGGTTTCGGGTTTAGGGTTGAGGGTTTAGGGTTGAGGGGTTTGAGGGTTGAGGGGTTTGAGGGTTTATAGGGTTTAGGGCTTACATACACAGGGCCTTGATAATTTTAATAATGGTTCTTTTAAAGGGTTCTATAACGGATCTAGCAATAAGAGTTCTGTAATATACGGGGCCTTAAGACTTTGTGCTATGGTTTTGGGGCATAGTGTTGTATAAGTAGAAGGACCATGCAGGAATAGGGTTTTGAGGAATATTATAGTCCTATCGTATGAAAGGTAAACAGGACCATACAGAAACTCTGAGGAGGTCCTCGAATAATTCGAGCTCCCAAAAGGGGCAGGGCACGGTTTTGGGTTCAGGTGCGGATGTAGGGTTTGTGGTTCTGAGCTTGGGGCTTCGCAGCACCCCTCAAGTGCCCTTTAATAGACCAGGCTGTTCAGTGGTACACTTTTTACTTTCAGGTTTCTGGGTTCCTATTGTAAAATGAGAAGCCTAATTAAAAAAGTATATACTTTTCCCAGTGGGTTACTGAACAGCATAGTAGAGGGCCTTATGGTCCTTAATAGTGGGTGCATGAGCTCCAATAGGGGGTAATCGGGGGTTGCTGGTAGGATTTGAGGTTCAGGGTTAGGGCGTACGGTTTGCCGCTTTGGGGTTACAAGTTTACAGTTTGCGGCTTATAGCGTTACGATAGCATGTGTCTCGGAAGGCCGTTAGCATCGGTGTTCATGAACATTTAATATCATCCTACGGATGCAGAAGGCAGTCTTAATCTCTGACTGCAAGAGCAAATTGCTCCACGAAAACGGAGGGTGATCACACTCCTACGAGCCCAAGCCCCAAATCTACGAACTCCATGCTCCAGGCCTACGAACCCTGAAACCAAACCTACGAACCCTTATCAAACCCCAGACTCTCCTAAACCCTAAACCTTAAACCCAGAAATTGCGAACCCTAAATGCTGTCATGCAGGTGCGCCAGGTCACTGCAGAAGCCAAGGAGGTGCACCGACTTTGCTTGAACGAGTTTGACTGGAGGGCTGGATTGAGTTGGAACCTAATTTATGTATAATGTTGCTATCATCAAGTTTTATTCCTGTATAGGGCCCTCACTAGTTAGAATGGGGTTTGGGTATACTTTTATCACGGACACCTTTCGCAAAAGGTAAAGCCTCAGGCGCCCCTATATTGTTTGCAATTCTGCACAGGACTAGACATCAACTGTAGGTCCATGTCAGGTGCGAACAGGCTTTCGACAGGTTCACAGGTGCACCGAGAGTATCAAAGAATAAGATCCAGGTAATCCGGCAGTTTAGGCACTGCCTGTGGCAGAATCGCCTGTGTATCCGAAAAGCCGAGCATGCGTAAACTCCAAACTCCGAGCGAGCTGCCGGACTAGCCGGGTAGCAGTAGCAGAAATCAGTAACCATGACCAGACATCGCCAGCATCATGCTGGCAGCGAAGTCCTAAGCCGTAGGCTCCGTTAAATCCAGATCCTGCATTTCAGGAGGCCAGAGCTGAGCTCCGAGGTGAGGAACAGCTGTGCCGGGACCTCATGCCTGGGTGCTCCCGACCGGATTCTAAGACTTGTGAGGCAAAACGGCTTACGATTTAGGGTCTATAGGAAGTGGCCTTGCGAGACCCATATTTGGAGCCGCATCCTGTTTCCATGAAGTTTAGCTCTCGACATGGGAGTTTCCGAACATAGGAGACCCCAATATAGTACCCTAAATAGTACGATCCTTATTATAAGGACCCCAAAATAAGGTACCCCTAGTTTTCGGAAACTCCCACATGGAGCCAATCTCGAAGATTCACTTCCCCTCGCATGGCGCTTCTGGGTTCCATCACCTCGTCCCATCCAAAGCGACAGCAGAGAGCCCAATACCCCTTAATTAAGGAATATGCCTAGGGTCAGGGTTCCTTTAAGGGATCTATAAGGGATCTATAGGGTTTAGGGGATTATAATACCCCTTAATTACGGAATATACCTTAAATTATAAGGGGATTCATATTATGATTCAAGCTATATTCCCTAATTAAGGGGTATTGGGCTCTCTGGGACAGCAAAGCCTACACCCCCAAACCCCTAAAGCCTAGACATCGTAAAAAACACCGAAATCCTCGGGAGTCCTCCAGTTCGAATCCCCCTTCCGTCAAACTCCCTCGTTGAATGCATCTCTAGGATGCCCAGTAGTACCCTTGTTCCCTTTTTAAAGGGATCTATAAGGGCTCCTTAAAGGGATCTATAAGGGTTCTATAAAGGGTTTAGGGTTTCCGAAAATTAGGGGCTAGGATGCCCAGTAGTACCCCTATTCCCTTTTTTGTAGTCCTAGGTTCCTTTTAAAGTTCCCCACTACCAAAAAGAGAGGCCTTGTTGTTCCTAGGTTACTGGGTATCCTAGCATCTTATCGGGATCTAAGCCCGTGACTCAGGGTTTAGCACACCAAGGCATCAGATTAAAGGTTTTAAGGATAAAGGGGCCCTAAGCCATACGTACAGTTTTAGGGATCAGATTACAAGTTTTAGGGATAAAGGGAAAGGGTTTACGGGTTTAGGGTTTAGGGGTCATACGTACAGTTTAAGCCCACCGGTTTAGAGGTGTTCGCGCCCTGCACCTTTATCCTCATGCCCTGAACTTCGAAATCACTCGTGAACTTGGGCTTTTTATCCCTTCTTGTAGGACCGTAGTATGCCCAGTCGTACCCATAAAGTTACCCGATATCAAAAAGGGTGCCTTTTTTTATTCCTAGGTTACTGGGCATCCGAGTTCTTGTAGGATTCCTTGTCCAGGAACCGCCCCCCAGAGAGCCCAATGCCCCTTAACTAAGGAATATAGCTAGACCTAGAGTAGGCCATTATTCCCTTTTTTGAGGGTTCAGGTTCCCTTATGAGCCCCTTTACCCCAAAAAGGGCACCCTTTTTATTCCTAGGTTACTCTTAGGTCTAGTAATATGAAGCCCCTTATAATTTAGGGTATATTGCTTACTTAAAAGGTACTGGGCTCTAAAACGGAGGAGCCCCCGGACCAAGGAGGAGTCCCCCAGCAGCGCAAACTACCCAGTATCAGAGCCTAATGCAGGGAAAGCCAGAAAGTTGGAACATCATCGTGCCTTTCTGCCCTTATGGGTAAAGTATAGGGAATCCTGCCACTAATCATCCTTAATCCATGTTCCAACTTTCTGGGGTTCACTGTGAAGGGTTGCTGTTGGGGTTCAGGGTTTGTCAGGGTCACTACAATAACGGCACCACCAATGTCCTGACTTAGCCCCACCTTGCCCAGAAACTCCAGAATCGATAACTGATCCCCAGATAGCCAGAAAACCCCCCCAAGCTGCAGTCTCCTTCTGATTTTTTTTATTTTTGTTCATATAAAACCCAAGAGAATATTAGAAGTATTACTTTTATCATGGTTCTAAGGGGTGGTATAGTAAACCCGAAACCTCTCAAAACTCTTCAACCTTAAACTTGGCTCTGAAGCCTAAACTAAGGCCCTGCTAACCCTAAACTGGACCCTAAACCCTACTAAGGCCCGACCATAAACTCGTAAACCCTAAACCCTACTAAGGCCCTACCCTAAATCCTAAATCCCTAAACCTCTAAACACCCCCAAACACCCCTCAACCCTAAACCCCCAAACGCTACAACATCCCTAAATCCCTAACCCCTAAACCCCAAACTATACACACCTAAACCCTAAACCCTAAACCCCTAAAAGCTCAAAGCCCCAAGATCCAGGCATGCAACTGGCGGCCTGGGGCCCTGTTTCAGTGTGAGTTTCAAAAAGCAGGTGAAGCCTTAAAATGGGTTTAGGGGTTTAGGGATTTAAGGTTTAGGGTTTAGGGATTTAAGGTTTAGGGTTCGGGGCCAGTTTCCACCTATTTTTCAGGCGTCTACAAAGTAGGCGTTCTCACTATAGACTTGGAAGGATATGCATTTTGCTTGGTCGTCTTCGTGAGCATGGCGTTCGGTCACGGGTTTCTCCGGGTCGTCTTCGTAAGCATGGTGTTGGGTCAAGGTTTTCGCTGGGTCGTTTGCGAAGAAAGGCTACGGATGTTTAGTTGGGTCGGGACGACTAGCTTCCAACCCAAGCACCCAGCCCACCCTCCTCAGCCTCCCTTCCAAGACCAAACAAGCCCACCGCACGCCCTGCCCTGCCCCAGTTCCCCACTCACCCCCCAACCACTCCCTACTCCCAACCCACTCCCAACTCACTCCCAACCCAATCCCAACCCACTCCCTGCCCACTCCCAACCCACTCCCACCAACCACCAGAAGTACCACTGAACACAGGCGAGAAAGCCCCTAAACCCTACAGCAAGGGTTTAGGGTTTGGGGCACCCCTAAACCCGAAACCCGTAAACCTGCTGAGGCAGAGCTCCGCCGGCGAATCGCCCAGGTGATCCTTCGGTTGGGGCTTGGGGGATTTGGGAGCTTCAGGTGGGTTTAGGGGGTACGGTTGAGGTGATAGGATTTTGGGGGGGTTTAGAGTTTGGGGTCAGGGTTCATAAACCCCAAACCAAGCGCGGCAAAGCTTGGGCTTGGGGCCAGGAGTTCGGCACTTCGAGTTCCGTGTTCACGCTACAGCGGCTTGCCTTGCCTTGCACATTCCCACGCCCTCAACGCCCATGTTATAGAACCCTATTATAGATCCGATCTAGCCCTCTAGAACCCTTGTAAGCATCCCTTTAAAAAGCAACCCTATTCTAAGTATTAAGGCCCCTATCCTATATCATGCAGACACCCCCCCCGGAGTCGCATCGCAGCGCCGTGCTTCTGAAATTCGCTTTGGGCTCAGTACTTAGCTGCCACGACTATAGCAGGGCAGGGCCTCTCCGAGCCATGCACACCTTGATTCGTCGAGAGGCCGGGCCGTCGCAAAATAGCTACCCTAGACTAGGATGCTAAGTAGTACCCTTATTCCCTTTTTTGTGGTCCTAGGTTCCTTTTAAAGTTACCCAATACCAAAAAGAGAGGCCTTTTTATTCTTGGGTTACTGGGAATCCTAGTAATCGCTCCAAAAGCACAACCGCACTAAACTCCAAGTTCCAAGCACTAAGCCCTAGGGTGTAGGGTTTAGGGTTTACCTCCCTAAACTCGGGAACAAAAAACCCTTCTACCCTAGATCTCCGGTACAGCCGCTAAGACCTAAAACCAAAACCCCATAAGCCCCAAACCCCAAACTCTCAAACCAAAGCCTCCACACCAAACCCTAAATCGCTGTAGGCCCCCGCCAAAACCCCTAAACCCTAAGCCGTCTAGATCCCCTTAAAGGAACCCTTATATATCCCTTTTCAGGGAGCCCTAAACCCTACACCCAGAAAGCCTAAACCCTTTACAGCTCAAGCACCAACCCTCACACCCTCAGGCCCCAAACTCTTGAACACAAAACCCTTACCCTTACACCAGATCTCCCTTAAAGCCCCCCCCCCAAAGGCTCGACAGTGGCTGCGGCAAGCCCGCAGCTTCGCTGCGGCCGCCCCGGCCGCCGAAGCGAAGTCAGCAGCCACCTTGGGGAAGGTCTCCCAGGTGGCTGGGCCACTAATATCAGAGTTTCCGAAAATTAGGGGTGCCTTATTTTGGGGTCCTTATAATAAGGATCCTGCTAAATTTAGGGTACTATATTAGGGTCCCCGCATTTTCGGAAACCCACATATAGGCGCCTTAACAAATAGAATAGGGTTTCTTGCGAGAGGTCTATAAGGGCTACCATAAGGGATCTAGAAGGCTACTATAATAGAGGGGGCCTGTTCCTGGGCCACTAGGGTTCTTTTAGGGTCCAGGGGTCTTTAGGGTTTAAGGGTTTTTAAGGTTAGGGTTTATAGGGTTCATGGGCCTAGGGTTGACGGGTTTAGAGTTTTGGTGTTTACGGAACGCATAATGGCATAATTAGTTCTTAACTCAGCGTTTTGGAAGTAGTCCGGTCCAGGGTTGAGGAGAGAGAGAGGGGGGTGCTCTGGGCGCCAATATGGGATGATTATTGATTTCTCTTATTATTCTGTTATTCTGTTGCAGCACCGAGACGTAGTTGTAGATAGTTCCTGAGAGTTGTTGGCATCAAGTCGGTTTTCGCTTCAGCTCCACCCCCAAAGCCTCCATCCACTGAAGCTAGAACCTTGAGGAACTCAAAAAGGCCGAAATTGAAACCCTCAACCCTGAACACTAAAACCCTAAACCCCTAAACCCTCAACCGTAAACCCCAAACCCCTAGACCCTAGACCCTCAACCCTAAAACCTAAACCCTAAAACACCTAAACCCTCAACCCTAAACCCTAAAACACCTAAACCCTAAAGGTCATCGGGGCCGTGGTGGATGTCCAGTTTGACACGGCCCTGCCTCCCATCCTCAATGCGCTGGAAGTGCAACTAGGTGGCAATCTGGGAATTTTTTTAATTTTCCCTCATGGTTCCTATAGAGGGATACCTATTCATAAATACTTTTCAGAGCCCTAAACCCTAAACCCTAAAGCCCCAAGCTACAACCCAGGCAAGGTTTTGAGCATCGCCTCGTGCTGGAGGTGGGGAATTTCCGAAGAGGTTAGCCTGAACCCTGAATCCCAAAATCCCTAAACCCTGTAGGGTTTAGGGTCCAAGAAGTTAGCCCTAAACCTTAGAAGCTGCCCCCACCCTGTAATAGTGACTATAAGGACTATATTAGGGCCCTATTATTATATTCCTATTATACCACTATTACAGGGTGGGGGCCCCTTCTAACCCTAACCCCTGAAAAGTCCGACACACTTAAAAAAGAAAACTAACCCCTAAACCCTTTAGGGGCCAGGGTTTAGGGTCCAAGAAGTTAGCCCTAAACCCTTTAGGGTTTAGGGTTCAGGTAGGTTTTAGGGGTATTTGAGGGGCGACCCCTGACTCTCATGAAACCTGGAGGTGGCCCAGCACCTGGGAGAGAACATGGTGCCTTGACTTTAGGGGTTTTATTCGGGTTGGGTTGGGGGTCTACAAGGCCTCACAAGGCTTTAACCGGGACTCCAGGCTTAGGGGCTTTCGGGTTTAGGGTTTAGGGGTTTAGGGTCTATGGGGTTTAGGGTTTAGGGGTTTAGGTTTAGGGTTTTGGAGAGTTTCAGGATTTCGCTGCTAAAAAGCGATCCCTTCTTGTTTTTGGTACTAAAGCCTCGTGGCCCTAATCTGAACCCGCAACTTTCGGTTTAGGAGTCCCGTAGCCTTACCCAGAGAGCCCAATACCCCTTAAGTAGGGAAGATAGTTTTATTCATAACATGAATCCCCATATAATTTAAGGTATATTCCGTAATTAAGGGGCATTGGGCTCTCTGGGTACCATAGCCCAGGTGCGCACCATTGCCATGGATGGTACAGACGGCCTGACCCGCGGCCAGTTAGTAGAGGACACCGGTGCCCCGATCACGGCAGCTTCGTCAGCAGGGAGAGTTTGACTCATTTGCTCTTCAAAGAGATACCATGTGTGGCTCCGTGCCAACTTGTGGGACAACGGAAAAGGATCTGTTGGTACGTATCTAAGCAACCTACAGGCGGAAATTGCGCAGCAAGACATTGCCCGGGACAGACTTCTCACATTTAGGCATCAAGGTTTTTTTTGGCGAGATAGCAGATCTTCTAGTCTGTAGGATTTGAAGTCGTTTGATAGGTGATACTGGAGTTTTATTCCTAGCCGCCGAAGCACTGTCGATTCCGGAGGGCGTGAGGGTTCTGCCTCCTTCGTGCTCGCTTTGGGGTTTGGAGTGTTGGACTTGGGGCTTAGGAATGCCTCAAGTTCTGTGAGTTCGGTATTTTGGTTCCGGAGTTGTGGTTTTGCGGGATTGACTTGGAGCAGAACCTCAGGTGCCGGTGGGTGAGCAGACTCTGGGACGGATCATTAACATCATCGGTGAGCCCATTGACGAGCTCGGCCCCATCGATACCAAGAAGCTCCTCACCTTGAAGTGCTGGGATACTCTTTCTGTGTTTCTCCTAAGGGATACGAAAGGAAAGTACGCGGCCAACCACGAAGCCTTCGTTTCTGAAGCAAGCCTTACCTAAATTAGAAGGATAGCTTCCATGCCCTTCATCCATCTGAGGGGAAGGCAAGGTTCAGGGAGCAGGGCTTCAGTCGTTATAGACATGTCAGGGCCCTAAGTCCTAGACCACTAGCCGTGAACTCTACCATGAAGTACTATAGGGGCCCAAACAATTATCAATACTATTTTGGGGGCTCCCTATTATAATTATAGTATAATGGACCCCAAGACCCTATTCTAATTATTGAAGCCCCTATATTAAACTGCTTCACTTAGCTTATGTACGAACTGGGTTTACAAAGCTTCCAGGTGCTGCTTAAAACCCAGATGCCTTGGATATTTCCATGGCGGCCATGGGGTGTGAAGGCTCTACAGCGCAACAAACAAGTATGATACCTTTATACCCTCGGAATTATTCTACCGCACTATTGACTATGACACTCTGCTGCAGCCTAAAAGTGACAAAGCTCCAGCACGTTGAAGACATGCACCTCCTCGGGTCAGAATTTCTTTCAGATCCCGTGGGAACTTGTCAAGGATAGTTTTGATGCAGTTTTTCAGGAGTTGAGTTCTAGTCTCGAAGTCTGTACAATTTATGTAGGCTTTTCAGGGCTTCTTGCGTTCCAGGTGGTTGCAGGCCACGTGCGGGATAGGCCGTTCGTCAAACTGGCTGTGCGGTGCTGCGAAGGTGGCACCGTTTGAGGACTCGAAACGGGTGTTTCCGAAAATAGGGGACCCTAATATAATACCCGACATAGTAGCAACCTTATTATAAGGACCCCAAAAGAAGGTACCCCCATTTTCGGAAACTCCCAAACACGGCACGGTGAACGGTTGCTTGTTGCAGGGTCTGCAAGGCTGGCAGCTTTGCAACTACCAAGATGCCCAGTAGTACCCTTATTCCCTTTTTGTAGTCTTAGGTTCCCGATAAAGTTAGCCAATACCAAAACTGGAGCCCTTCTTGTTCCTAGGTTGCTGGGCATCCTAGACTATAGTTTCGGTTCGGGTTGTGTTTCTTGCAACCCGGCTGCAGGATGTTTGCTGCGCACGCTTAAAAGAAGAGCGATGCTGCAGGACACCATATGACTATTTCCATGAACACAGTAGAATGTGTCGGATGCTGTATGCAGTACAGGCTACAAAATGCTAAAACCATGCACAAAGCATAAACCGCACAGCTAGAGTGACCCTATCACGCAATCTTTGCGAACTGCAAGGTTCTATGCCATTCACAGGCATGGCCCAGCTGAAGTGTCGGGTTTGTATGTGATGCTCGGGGGAGTGGGCGTTGAGGGGTAATGGCGGTAATGGGTTTGGGTTCAGTATTTGGGTGCTTTTCTTAGCCAGGTGTTTCGGTTTTTGTTGCGGCCAGCGTTTGGAGTGGTCGGGGTCAACCTCAAGCCCCCAAATCGACAAAGACTCGACTGCCAGATTCCCTTGTCCTTGTCTTTTGGGCTGGCTGTTGATATGTACAACCTCTCAGTTTAGATGCCTGAATAGTTTGAGTAGGGTTTTGCAGGGTTTGCAGACACTGCAAGTCCAACGCCTCGCCTACTTTGAAGATGCTTTCTTTTCTCGCCACCCGCAAGAGGATGCAGCTAGGAACGTGCAAGGGTCTCAAGGGTGTGCTTCATCTGATGATGCTGATTAGCGAGAGGGCAATAAGCATGCGAGCGGAAGCTCAAGTATGTGGGTGGTTGTCAAAATTCTGGTCCCTTTTTGGGTCCTTATTATAATACGGCACCTCATATTTAGGGCACCCAAAAAGAGATCATAATTTTGACAACCACCCATGTGGGTCTTCCCCATGCTGCCCGGTGTCGTTTGAGAGAGGGTCTCTGTGCTGTGGGAGGGTAAGTCTCCCATGGCATCCTCCTGGCCAAGGGCCCTATGTGAGCTCAGATGTTGGGCAGCAAAAAGGAGCCCAAAAGAAACCTAAACACCATAGACCCTAAACCCAGAAACCCCCAAACACTAAACCCCTAAACCCCTAAACCTTAGGTAGGTTTTTGGGACATTTTATATTTTCCCTTACCGGGCTTAGTAGGACCCAACTTACGAGTACTTTTCAGAGGCGTTAAAGGGCCAACCTAGAACCCTGAACCCCTAAAACCCGAAACCTCAGACCCTAAAACCCTAAACCCTAAAGCCCTAAACCCAGAAACCCCCAAACCCTAAAACCCCCAAACCCCAAACCCCTAAACCCTGAACCCCGAACTGACGTCAGAATGCAGGCCCACGCCGACGTTCACCGAGATGAACACGACGGCCCAGCAGCTTCTCACTGGGATCAAGGTTGTGGACCTGCCGCTGGGCATGGAAAACTTCGGTTACTATTTGGGGGGGCGGTCCTTTAAAAGGTTCCTTAAAAAGGGTGTTATAAGGGATTTATAGTAGGGTTCTATGGTATAGGGGCCTTAACAATTACCTACACCATGTTGAGGGGTTCCTGTTTATAGTTATCGTATAACATAGCCCAAAACCCCGTTCTAATGTTTCCCCGGGTTGCTGAAGGGGTGCTGCAGGTGCTACTGCACGGTTCTAGAATTTAGGGTTTATGGTATTGGTGCATGCGGGCTTTTGTACTGGTTGGATTTAGGTGCGCAGGGCTTTATCTGGGTTTTATAGAAATATTGCAGCGGCTGATAGGGGAGCCACAACGACAACAACTTGTGACACCGTACGAGTGATGCAATGTAGACAAGATATACCCTAAACCCTGAACCCCTAAACCCTAAGCTTTAAATTCTAAATTGTGCACGGAATGAGAGTGCTCAGTTAGGCTGCTGGGGGCTAGCAGGATTCGGTGTCGAGTTTAGGCACACAAAGCCCAGGCTCTAAACTCTAACGCTCTAAAACCCTGAAGCCCAAACAGGGCTACACAGGTCCCCAGCTTAGACACTTACGCATTGAGTTCGATGGATCCTCGACAATGGACCCTAAACCCTAAACTCTAAACCGAACACACCAATAGTCGCAGGTTTCAGCTTCAAGTCGACACCAGGAATCTTAGGATCGGCTAGGGTCTTTTAAGCCCAGCTGTAAATGCTGTAAAGCTTGAAACCCGCCCTTGGACCCCAACTCCTGAAACTCAGCGATGCAACCCTGACTCCGTAAGCCCCGTAGTTGATCCTAAATTCTACACGCTCCATTCTGGGTCCTAGGACAAAAACCTTACGTCCTGAACCCGAACCATGAATCCAAGCCGCCGCCCCCACGGAAGCAAAGCCTCATGCCGAAGAGTGCCAACGATCACCCCTAAACCCTAAACCCTAAACCTAAACCCTAAACCCTAAACCCTAAACCCTAAACCTAAACCCTAAGCCCTAAACCCTAAACCCCAAACCCTAAACCCTAAACCCTCAGACCCTTCGGGTTTAAGTTTAAGGTTCAGGGGTTTGGGGTTTGCGGTTTTGGCCCCTTTAGGGTTTAGGGTTTAGGGATTTAGGGTTTAGGGTTTAGGGTTTAGGGATTTAGGGTTTAGGGTTTAGGGTTTAGGGACTCTAAACCGTCGGAACAATCCTCATATCCCAGGTTGGCACCCTACGCCAAGGGAGGACTCCGGCCTTCAGTGTTCGAGAACTGCTACTGGCAACTCCAGCCCAAAACCGACATCCCAACACCGGAAACCGCCTTGCTTCAACCTCTAAGATCTACTTCACCAAGTCTAACACCCAAACCCGACTTTTCCCATCCTCAAACCTTCAAACTCCATTCGAATCCCGATAGTCTTCCTGCAGCTCGAAGTTTTGTTTCTTGGAAAGAGCCAGCAATCCAGACACTTGGCCATTGCACCCTAAACCCCAAACCCTAAACCCCAAACCCCAAACCCTAAACCCTAAACCCCAAACCCTAAACCTTAAACCGAGAGCAGGCTACCGAGAGCAGGCTTGGGCTTGGCCCACCAAAACAAACAGATTGTTTTGAACGCCTAAAGCTAGTTGAGCAAAAGCTCAGTGCTGGAGGTTTGCTATAAACGTCTTGCGAAACCTAGAGGTTAGTGTTCGGGGATTTGGTAGGTGGGATAAAGCTGCTAGATCGCGTGAACCGGAAATTGCTGCCTGCATCGGCAGGAAAGATCGGGCTTTTCGGCGGTGCCGGTGTGGGCAAGACGGCACACGCCCTGGCATTTGCACTAAACGAAGACGCCTCATTTATAGACCGTGCTCGCTTCTACAACACGGATCGGAGCATAAAAGCTCTTGCATTACTCGGTGTCACCCTGCTGACCAAGCAACCCTCATGACAGACTTAGGTTGTGATCATGGAGCTGATTCACAACATTGCGCTCAAGTGGCATGGCCGCACAACTGAGATGTGCATGTCATGGCAGCTACTTCCTACAACGGACAGGCTATAAGCACTTGCTTCCCAACCTACTGAGACCCAAACCCTAGAGACTGAACCTAAAGCAGCCTCGACCTTGAGACAAAACGGGAGTTTCCGAAAATTAGGGGTACCTTATTTGGGGGTCCTTATAATGAGGATCCTAACTATATTAGGGTCCCCTATTTTCGGAAACTCCCAAAGTGCTCCGTATGCAAGTTGGGAGGCACGGTGGCTACAGCGTCTTCGCTGGAGTGGGTGGGGTCCTCAGCTATCTCATCTTCATGATTCGGGACGTCGAGGGGCAGCTGTCCTAAAAGCCACTACTGGCCGCCGACGATACTTGTCTGAGGTGTTAAATTCTAAACCTGAAACCCAATTCCAGAATCATGGACACAGCTGGTAGCTGCCTACTTCCCGGCACTCGATGAGTGTGCCGTGTCTTGAATTCGGACCCTTTCGGAGTGTGTGAGGCCGCTGCCTGGTGTGCTTCGCGGGTATCGGGAGTTTTGAAGGATCCTCCTTGTACTGCCTTGAATCTTGAAGCCTTGGGGTAGCGTGAAGAAAGTGTCGGTTTTGAAAGGTTCAACTCAAAACATTCGATTGGAGGGACTGGGGGAGGCTTGCAGCTCGTTCCTGTCCTTGTGGCCGCGAGGTGAGCGCACTCGTGAGGGCAACGACCTGTATCACGAGATGATGGCCAGTGGTGTCATCAAGAGCCTTGGCTGATGCAGGTTGCTCTAGCATCACAGTCTCGCCTGCTAGTACTGTATGTTAAATATTCGTCCTTATACTTGGTATATACATCCATAGTGTTTGTTAGCTCTCTTGCTTAGTGGCACTGCCCCAATCCTAAAACACTCCTGAACCCACGGTGTTGTGCCACTGAACTCGAGACCCCGTTGATATTCAACACCCGGAAAAGACCCTTAAACCCCAAAAGCCCCTACCACAAGAATACTGTTCGTGGCTTTCTCAGCCTTCAAAACCAGTGCACCCAAGAAGCCACATAAACAGCAGCTACAAGTATTGCAGCCGACCCCCCTGGTACAGGGTGTACCCTCGAATGCTTAGGTTTAGGCGCTGCTTGCGGCTTTCAAGCAGGAGTCTTAGAAAATAGCAACCGATTCGAGGCGGAAGAGCGAGTGTTGGTAGAAGGATATATCGACCCAATTGCATTGGATCCTACCACAAACGCGTAAGTAAGGGAAGCCTAAAATTCAGAACCCTCTATAACACCCTACACAACCATGCAACAAGCAATGTATATCAAGCCACCGTGAAACTGCGTCAAGCTCTGTAAAAGCACTTGCACAGACCTTCCCAAAGGCCTATAAAAGCCTCCCAACCCTAAACCCTAAACCCTAAACCCTAAACCCTAAACCCTAAACCCTAAACCCAACCCTAAACTTGGGCTTTGGAGTACCATACTCTAATACTTTTATTGGGACCTGTTGCTTAAAGGGAACCATTATGACGTAACTTAGGTACTGCCCCCATACAGTAAGAGGGCTACTATTAGGGTCCTAATATGGGAGTTTTCGAAAATTAGGGGTACCTTATTTTGGGGTCCTTATTATAAGGATCCTACTATTTAGGGTACTAGATTAGGGTCCCCTATTTTCGGAAACTCCCATATATCTTTATTCTGAATATCATTCAACCATTACTGACTGGGGACCGTACCCAAGAAATAGCAGTCGAAACTTTTCTCTCCTCCCCAAGCAAAGCCTTAAGAGCTCTGAACCCTAAACCCTACATGATGTCTTGGAAGCTGGATCTGCGTCTGGGAAAAAGGAGCTTAACAAAAAACTAAACGATGAGCCCAGGAAGGACAAGGCGCCTGGCTCCAAGGCCAGCACCTTTTAGATTCAGCTTCTTAGGGTGTTTGGGGAGGTGTTTTGGGTAAAGGGCACCTAAAAAAGGGCTCCTTAATCGGATTTCTAGGGGCTTTAGGGGTTTAGGGTTTGGGGTCTAGGGTTAGGGTTTCATGGTTTCGGGTTCAGGGTTTTTGGGTTCGGGGTTTTGGGCTTGGGGCTTCAGGGATTTAGGGTTTTGTGTTCTAGGCTTAGGTTTTAGAGTTTCGGGGTGTAGGGTTTTAGGGTTCGGGTTTGAGGCTTAGGGTTTCTGTAGCGGTATGTAAAAGAATGTGAGTGCGCTGCAAGGGCGTTTAGGGCCCAAGCGTTTAGGGTTTGTAAGGGTTGAGTGTTCTATTGGCAGCTTCTTTAGCATTTCTGTAAGACTTCTCTACATGCTCTGTCAGGGGACTTAGTAAGTAGGTGATAAGTAGAGTTATAAGTACCTTAAATGGAGTAACCCCCAATTTAATTTATAACCGACTTACTAAGTTCCCCTGAGCCTTTAAGAAGACGCACCCCAAAGCCCCCTCGAGGCCTCACCTGCATCATCTCCCGACCGAAACCGCAACAGGTCCGAAACCCGAAACCCTAAACCCCTAAACCCCCAAAAGCCTAAAAACCCTAAACCCGATCTAAAACCCTAAACCCCTACACCCTAAACCCTTAAACCCCTGAACCCAAAACCCTATCTAAAACCCTAATTAAACCCCTACACCCTAAACTAGCAAGGCCGCGCTGGTGTACGGCCAGATGAACGAGCCCCCTGGAGCCCGGGCCCGCGTGGCCTTGACTGGGCTCACCGTAGCGGAGTACTTCCGCGACGAGGAGGGCCAGGCCCTCTCCCGGGGGATCTCTTTTTAGTCTAGTTTACTATATCATTCTGGGTTTTTTTGAAAAATTGGGGGTACGTTTTTTGGGGTCCTTGTAATATGGATCTACTATTTAGGGTACTATTGGGAGTTTCCGAAAATTAGGGGTGCCTTGGGGCTAAATCCGGCTCAAGGTTTTGGGGAGCATAATGTAGGAACCTGATTAAGAAACCTTGCTCCTTTAGTAGGGTTCTTTATATGAATCCTACTATTTTGGGGATCTATAGGCCCAGGGTTTCTTAATCAGGCCTCTTCTAGTTTGCTATAGGGTGATATGGGTGGTTGTCAAAATTATGGTCCCTTCTTGGGGCTCTCAATATTGTGTGCACCTAGTATTTAGGGTACCCCAAAAGGGACCACAATTTTGACAACTACCCATATAGGTGCCTTAACAGTATTACCAATGCTATTTTGGGGGTTCCTTATGATGAGTATGGTCCTGGGAAACCCTAAAGACCCAAAATTAAGGACCATAAGGGCTCCATTAAAGGGCCTTTGGGGGATCCTGGTTGAGTTTACGTCTCTAGGGTTCAGGTAGCCCTAAGGGTCCATGTACCCAAAAAGTATGTACTTTGGCCCCGTTTTACCCAAACAGGTACTACTTTGAGGCCAAAGAGTATAGTACTGTTGATGACATAAATCCTGCATTGCCCCTAATAAGGAAAATTCCATAATTCCCATAGTCTATGGTCATTAAGATGCTGCAGGATTTATATCATCAACCGTATATGGGTACATGGACCCTTAGGGTAGGGGGTTTGGGGGCTGAGGGTACGGGTTTATGATTGGTCTTCGGACAGGAGAGGTTTTATCAAAGGGGAAAAGGCGGGACCCCTACTGGGGACCCCTACCCTATAATGGGCTATATAATGGGTATATAATAGCTATATTAAGGGTTACGTAGGTGTCCTTATTAAGGGTCCCTCCTTTTACCCTTGGACTTTAGAAGCCCAGTCTGACAGGGCTCCCTTCTGATCGCGTTCAGGGACTTAGGAGTATCAGCGGTTTCTGTTCATGCGCGCATAAACCCTAAACCCTAGACTCATAGGGACCCTTAGGGGGGTAGGGGGAGGAGGGTACTTAATACCTTTAATAAGGATTTAATGAGGTTTACTTAAGGGAGTATAGTCCTCTACCCCCTAAGGGTCCTTATGATCGACCCTGAAAGCTGCGGAAGCTCCGTCGAACACCCACAAATCTTTTAGAAAGGACGTGCTGCTGTTCGTTGACAACATCTTCCGCTTCACTCAAGCAGGATCCGAGGCTGGCTTTCCGCTTATGTCAAAGGGAAAAGGAGGGACCCTTGATGGAGACCCCTACATATAATGGGTATATAATAGCTATATTAAGGGTATATACCTAGGGGTCCTTCTTAAGGGTCCCTCCTTTCACCCTTGGATTATGGTGAACCTCAGAAAGTTGGAACATGGGTATGGGATGATTAGTGCTGGGATTCCCTATACTTTGCCTGAAGGGCATGAGGATAAGGATGTTCCAACTGGCTTCTAGTGTAATGCGGCCTAGGAAAGAAGCCCAAATAATTGCCAATACCGTCGCTTATGCTTCCTTCTTATGGTTACCAAGGAGCCCCACACCTATTCTAGTTTTGAATATAAGGCCCCTAGTGCAGGAACCTGATTAAGAAACCCTGGGCCTATAACCCCAACATAGTAGGACCCTAAAACGGAACCAGGGTTTCTTAATCAGGTTGCTACATTAGAAGGTTATGCTGTTCGGGTCTCACGCTGTTCGCGCAGGTGTCGGCCCTTTTGGGTCGTATTCCCAGCGCTGTGGGCTATCAGCCCACCTTGGCAACAGACCTGGCGTCGCTGCAGGAGACCCACAGGGCTCTAGTATAGGGGCTTAAGTATTACCCATACCATTTTGGGGGCTCCCTTTTGTCAAGGGGTTCCGTATTATCTCATCAGTATAGTATCATGGGCCCAAGACCCTATGCTAATTATTATTAAGGCCCCTGTATTGGTGGTTTGGGTTCAGGGTTTCGTATGCTCTGAGCATTTTGGGATGTTTAGGCTATCTTAATCTCTAGGGGTTTTATAATGGGGGGACGTAAGGGGTAATGGGGTTTGTGATCCTCCTTAATGTATGGGGTGATATAGGGGTCTCAAACCCCCAAACCCTAAACCCTTGAACTATAGAACCCTCAAGTGAAGACGGCACAAAACTGTTTAGCCCCAAGAAGCAAGTTTTTGAGGAGCGCATCACCACCACGCAGAAGGGCTCTATCACCTCCGTGCAGGCAGCAGTTTCGGTTTTCGGCTTGGACACGGTTTACGGTTGGGTGCGGAGCACCTGCATGTGCTTAGCAGTGAATCGGCCTCACTTTGCCGGAGGCTGTCTACGTCCCTGCCGATGACTTGACCGATCCTGCTCCTGCTCACCACTCAGACTCAGGATACATCGGCCCAGAGAAGTCATGGTGGAACTCCACTGGTCATCAGTTCGTCGAGGTTGCATTGTGTCCACGTCAAAGGCCACTTGCTTGTCTACACCTGCAGATGCAAAGAACCCTAGGCTCCAAATTCGAACGGCTAGCCCTGAACTTGAGCTTGTTCCCACGACCTCCAGCCGCATCCCAAACGACGACGTAGGTGGGTCATGTCGGGACGTTGGGCAATTGTGGCTGTCGTGAAGGACGTCACGGGACACATTTTGAAAGTGTATCCCTTCGACGTCTGCAGCAGACATCTCAACCTTCCGCCGAAAGATCCTTAGAGCGTGCGTCCGCAAGCAGACATGTGGGTAGTTGTCAAAATTATGGTCCCTTCTTGGATACCCTAAATATTAGGTGCCGTATTATAATGGGGACCCAAAAAGGGACCCTAATATTGACAACCATCCACGTGTCAGTGTGAGCGCGTGCACCAGAATCCTTCCGCCCGATACTGTGCTTCATGCCAGGAGACTCCAACGTCCCGGGTTGGGGGTACATTGTACTATAACTGTAAGAAGGATCCCCCAAAGCCCTACTCTAATGCTTACGTAATGCTCCTACATCATCCTAAATCTTTCCCTTGCCGTCTCTGAGTGCTGAGGCCACAACCTTCGCGCACTTGGATGCCACCACGGCCGGAACCTCAAGTTGGAACACAGTGGTGATTGGTGCTAGCAGCGAGCAATCGAAAGATGGCTTTATCATGGTTGTGATGATGGTGCTGATGATGTTGATGGTGATGGAAATGGTGATGGTTTTGATGACGGTGATGATGACGGTGATTATGATGGTGATGATGATGGTGATGATGATGATGATGGTGATGATGATGATGCTGATGATGACGGCACGCATGGATTGGGTAATGACGTTAAAGATGATCTTGACAGCGCTGATGGTTGTGATGGGGAGGAGGAGCCTGCTCGTGGTTTAAGTACTGATGATGTTGCGTGCGGCGGTGCGTTGCTTGTCGTGCTGCTGTGCTAAACTTTGCTAAACCTTGGAAAAACTAAACCATTGTGTCCTAGAGTGCATCGTTGAGTTCTCAGCCCTAAACCCTAGACCCTGAATCGATCGCATGCTTTACGGGTGAATCGCCCCCCCGGAGCCGGTCAAACTGCAGGTAGAGGAGGTTGGGTTCAGGGTTGCGGCTTCAGGTTTAGGGATTCATGGGGCGGTTCTTGCACAAATAAAGCTTCCGCACCCCATATAGTCTTCACCGCCACTTGGCTTCCAAGGTTTTGTCGCGCCAGATTGCGGAACTTGGAATCTACCCTGCTGTGGATCCCCTGGACTCCACGCGCGATGCTCAGTCCACGGATATTGCGAACAGACGCATGTTTTCAGTGCTCATCAGTCGTAGTTCTAACGGCAAGTCTGGGATCGAGTTCCAAGTTGGTGTTCTTCACAAAAGCCGAAAACTCTGGGTGCACGGATGGCAAGAACGATAGCGTTCAGAGCAGCCGCAACGGAGCTGCCTCAAGCCTCAGCGAAGAATTTGGGCAGGCTGTTAAGCCAGGCAGCTCTTTATGCACAAGGTACTGTAGAGTTCTCAAGACGTGCTACGAGAAACAAACACCCTAAACCAAAGAACCCTAAACCCTAAGCCCTAAACCCCTAAACCTACTGAGTGTGAGCCCTAACATTGGGCGAGCCAATCGACCTGCTTGCGGAGAGAAAGGCCCACCACACTTAAAAAAAGAAACCTAAACCCCAAACCAAAGAACCCTAAACCCCTAAACCCTAAACCTCGAACCAAAGAACCCTAACCCCAACCGGAAGATTGACGGGTTTGCCATGCAGGTCGCGAATGCTTGACCCGTCGATCGTCGGACAGCGTCTCCCGGCAGTTATAAGGGATCTAGAGTATTGCTAAGGGTTCTATCATATAGGGGCCTTAGTAATTACCTATACTGTTTGGGAGGTTCCTTATTACGTATAGTATAACGGGCCTCAAGACCTTATTGTAATGATTTCGGGTTCGAGAGTTTGGGGCCTGGGGTGTAGAGGCCCTAGACCCTAAACCCTGAACCCTTAGGGAGGCTAGGTTTAGAAACACTATAAGAAACCCAGATAGTTCCGTTTAAGGAACCCTATAAGCAGGCTGAGGGTTTAGGGTTTGGGGTTTAGGGTTCGGCGAGTGTTCAGAGAGTTTGGGACTGGGGGTTCGGAGATATAGGGTTGAGGTCATCCTACCCAGACCCGTCAGAGAATCTAGCAACATAGGGTCTCTCAAAAGGTAGGCACGACCTGTTACAACGGTTCCATAGTTGGGCTCCTTCAAAACCCGAAGCCCTAAACCCTACGCCCTAAACCCCTAAACCCTAAGCCCTGAACCCCTAAACTCTAAACCCTAAACCCCTAAGCCCTAAACTCTAAACTCTAAACAAACAAAAGCCCAAAGCCCAAAACAAAAAAGGCTAAGCCCTAAACCCCTAAACCCTATAAACCTTAAAAAATGAAAGCCCTAAGCCCAAAACACAAAAGGCTAAGAAACCCTATAAGCTTTAAAAAAGTAAAAGCCCTAAGCCCAAAACACAAAAGGCTAAGAAACCCTATGAACCTTAAAAAACATGAAAGCCCTAAGCCCAAAACACAAAAGGTCACTACGACATTGCCCGCAGCACGCAGAAGATTTTGCAGGACTATAAGTCTCTGCAGGAGACCCGGAGCCAAGGGCAGTCACGAATTTAACGATTTAGGGTTTAGGGTTTTAGGGGTTTAGGGTTTAGGGTTTTAGGGGTTTAGGGTTTAGGGGTTTAGGGGTTTAGGGTTTAGGGTTTTAGGGTTTAGGGTTTAGAGGTTTAGGGTTTGGGGGTTTAGGGTTTAGGGTCACGAAATGAAGGTTATAACCAGGTAGGGCTTTCTGGGACATTTTATACTGGCCCTTTTGAGGATCTTACTAGGTAGGGCCCTTTGGGACATTTTATATTTGCTCCTAAGGGGCTTTAGGGGATCTTACCTAGTATAATATTTTTCAAATGCTTGAAAAGCACCTCCCAGTTATAGCGGTTTCGGGCCCCGCTTTTTGGGCTTAGGGCTTAAGGGTTGTGAGGTTTCTCGGAGTTTAGGGTTCACGGTTTGCCGTCCAATTTGGGATCGATGGTCTAGGGTTTAGGAGTGGGCACCCAAGCACCGCAGCGGCTGCAGAGGGGTTGGAGCGATGGAAAAGCTACTGTTGTTGAAACATGCTGAAACTACCCCAAAACTGGAACCTCAACCCCCTAAACCCTAAACTCGGAAACCTGAATACAGGACATCATTGCGATCCTGGGCATGGATGAGCTGTCCGAGGAGGACAAGCTGACTGTGGCCCGAGCACGCAAGGCCTCCCGAAATTCTGGGTTCGAAGAGCATTCTTCGTCGCTTGGGGTGTTTTGTTGCTTACGGCTTTTAGTCTCTAAGGTTTTAGGGTGTGGGATGTAGGGGTTTGCTGATGCTTTTTTGCACAGGGTTTGGAGTTCAGTCTTCTCGGTCCACAAGCAGTAAGCTTTCAACCCTAGAACATTGCCCCAAGCCCAAGCTAGGAAGGCTTTGGGATATAATCCCTTAGTGGGCTCAAGAGGATCTTATGTACGAATATTGTTCATAGCATGTAACGGGCCAACCTGGCAAGAAATCTTAACTCTAAACACTGAACCCTCGCCCGACGCAGCTCTGCGAAGACCTGCCCAAAATTAGTCCCTAAACCCTAAACCCTAAACCCGAGCGGCAATTCTCAGCCTTTCCAAACCATGGATCCCGCAGTCGGGTTTTGGGGTTCAGGAAGTGTACTATAATGGGGCTTAAATAATTCCCAATACTATTTTGGGGTTCATTATTATAACTACAGTATAATGGGCCCTAAAACCCTATTCTGATTTTTACGGCCCGCCTATTCTTAGCACCGAGAGGCTGATTTAAAACTTCCTGGTCCTCCATCAATGACAGCTTGGTAACTTAGTGATACCTCGTGTTCCTTTGCATGGGTCATGCTTCCCTCGGAATCTCTTCAATTGATCCCAGCCCTCAACGGTAAAGCCTAAATGCCCTAGACCTAGTGAGTCAAGGGTTTGCTGAAGATCCCAGTTGCCTTGACCAGGTCCAACGTTTCTTGTCCCAGCCCTTCTTTGCCGGGAGCCAAGCACACAGCGAAGTACAGAGTCTTAATATGATAGTGCCTGACTGATTGCGATGCTGTTCCTTATGTCAAAGGGGAAAAGGAGGGACCCTTAATACGGACCCGTAGGTATATACCCTTAATATAGCTAATATATACCCATTATATAGCCCATGATAGGGTAGGGGTCCCCATTAAGGGCCCCTCCTTTTCCCCTAAACCCCCTAAACCCCCAAACCTCTAAACCCTATACCCTTATAGCATCCCTACAGATCCCTTTAAAGGGACCCCATTAAGGGGTCCCTCCTTTTCCCCTTTGATTATGGGTTCCCGAATAGAAACCCCCGCAACCCTTTCTCAGATTCTCGGGCCTCGGGCCCAGGATTTGGGGTCCCGGGTTTAGCGGGTTTAGGGTTTAGGGTTCAGGGTTTAGGGTTCCGGGTTTGGGTGTACTTGGAGGGTCTTTGGGGGACTTAGTAACTGGTTATTTTAGGGACTTATAAGTACCATAACCCCAATTAGGGTCCGTTTTAGGGTACTTATAAGTCTACTTACTACCTACTTACTAAGTCCCCCGACCCTCCAAGTAAAGGCTGGTGTCAAACGGGCGGAAGGTTGTCCTTCGAGTTGATCTTCGGGCTCCGGAATGTCTTTAGGACCTGCTGTCTGTACTGTTCACCGCTTGTTGATTTTCCAAATGGGAGTTTCCGAACATAGGGGCCCCTAATATCATACCCTAAATAGTAGGATCCTTATTATAAGGACCCCCAAATAAGGTACCCCTAATTCTCGGAAAGTCCCAAATTGACCTTGAGGCTTTAACGGGTTTAGGGTCTAGGTCATGTTGTTTGCCGGAGCTCGTTGGAGGTTCGGAGACGGAGCAGAACCCACAATTGGTTGATGGGCAGAAGCCCAAACCCTGAAGGCAGTAGCCCCCTCGAGGGAATAGTTCAAGTAAAACCGTAGTTAGCTCTCCAAGAAACTACCCATAGGCTCCATAGTAGTTCCTTGTGGGGGCTCATGTTTAGAATCCTATAAGGTAATCCCAAAACAACCACTATGGAGCCTTTGGGTACACATCAGAAAACCAACGAGCGCGAGAGATGGAAAGCGGAAGGACAGATCCTATAACAATAAACTGTGAAACTCTGCACCGTTAGGCTTGGAGCCTTAAACAGACCTGCAGGTGGCTGAGATCTTCACCGGCACTCCGGGAGCGTTCGTGGATTTGGAGACCACCATCAACGACTTCGAGGAGGCGGGTGCAGGGTTTTGCAGTGATGGCACAGGGCTTCGGATTTAGGGTTTGGGGCTGAACCCGATCTAAGGGGTTATATGAAGGACCGCGCTACTGAGGGTCTGTATTGGGCCCCCTTGCCCCCTGCACCTTCTAGGCACTGCATCCTTAGATTTGTGTCGTGAACAGAGGATGTCCAGACGGTCTAGAGTTCGCGGTAAAGATATGGTGTCAAGGGAGTTTTGGGTCAACAAGACGGTTTCAGGTTTGCAATTCCATCATTGCCGATTTGTGTTAGGTCGACAGTATCCTATCCCGAATCGGGCTTCGGCGCAAGAGCCCCGAACCAACCAAAATCTACAGACCCTTAACCCGAGAATTCACATTCAACACGGGTGGGGGATTGCGGCTTAAGCCTTGAATTTGAACATAGATTTCGCTTTCCTAAACCTTGTCGAATTCCAAAAATGCCTCAAACCCAAGCTTTGCACTTTGCACAACGAGACCTCCAAGCCCCCCACAATCCCCATACAGCTCTCATAAGTCATATAATGTTTAGGGCTTGTAGGGCTTTTAAGAAGAAAGACCTGAAGAGTGAAAGCAATGTTAGTGGTCCATTCCGAGGAAGCTAAAGCCCTGCGAGCGTAGGTCCTGTCTGGAAATTGCGATGACATTCCGGAGGTCACTGGGCAGCAACCTTTGGGTTTAGGGTTAGGGGGCACAGTAATAGACTCCATAACCACAGCAGTCGTAGGGATCGAAACACAAGTAGCACAGTAGCACTAGCTATGATGATAGTGCGGTTTCGGGCTCGGGACTTGCAGGAGTCCAGGTCGCTGGGTTAGGGTTTAGGGGTTTAGGATTTAGGGTTTAGGGTTTAGGGCTCAGGGATTCAGAGTGTGGTTTCAAGCCTGGCGCCCCGCATGCGTTTTTCGTGACGCATAGATGCAGATCAAGAGCAACCTTTGCTGTTTAGGGCTTACCCAGAGGCCCCATACTAGTTCCTTCTTGGGATTACCTGATAGGGTTCTATATATGAACCGCGAAAAGGAACTACGTTGGGGCCTCTGGGTAGTGCTTCCTAAACCGTACCTACCACCCTCAAGCTTCAACCTTGCCCCTTGCGTGTCTAAGTTGCTTGACCCAGAGAGCCCAATACCTCAATACCCCTTAATTAAGGAACATAGCTTAAACCATAATATGAATCCCCTTATAATTTAAGGTATATTCCCTAATTAAGAAACCCTAAAACCCTAAACCCTAAACCCTAAAACCAATTCGAAGGGTATTGGGCTCTCTGGGCAGACTTGGGAAGGCCGCATTTTACATGATCGGCGGCATGGCGGATGTGAAGGAGAAGGCGGGCAAAGCCACCCCCATGGATCCTGCACATGCGGGTTCAATCCTAATGAGTTTGTTTGTAGTTGAGACTCTTCGTGTTCCAGTATTCATTGTTGTCACTGCCAGCGTTCCGATCGGTGCTAAGCTCTTTCCATTGACAGGCTGCCAAGCTTGCTGCCGTGGCAGCTGGCAAGTGAGTCGGGCGAAACAAGTTGGATGTGCTCAGCATTCATCAGCGACTATACCTCTGACACAGCATGAGCAGCACAATAGGAGGCAAAACAGACAGGACAAAATGGAAGTGTCTACATATCAAGAAGCTCGTCGAAATGCTCGTTTTGGATTTTAGAAAGGTCCGCTTGTTGCATGGCTGTCTTTTCCGAGCCTCTACACCTTAAACTGACGTGCATAAGCCACCCACAGATGAGAACCCTGAACAGCGAAGCCCTAATGAAGGGCTGAATGAATACCAAGACTATTCCTTATTATTATTATTGCAGGGCTCTGTAACACAATTGTACAAGAACAGCTTACTGAGGCCCCAAAAAACACTTATTATAAACCGGACAAAGGCCGCATGAAGAACCCTTTTCGAATCCTTGGGGCTCCTATAAGCCCTAAACCCTCCTCGAATTCTTGGGGCCCCGGTTTTCATGTAAACCGCCCCGCCGCTTCCGGTCCTCGAGCTTTGACCGGTTTAGGGTACCCTTGTCCGGTAATATATAGCGGCCTCAATAGTTGGACAGGGCTTCGAGGCAGCATGTTGCAGCACAGTTACAACAAGGCCCCCTAAAGAATACAGTTACAACAAGGCACCCTAAAGAATCAGTGTTGTAGGTGTTCTAGCTCCTGTATCAAGGTCCTTTATACAGGCTTCACACTTCACATGGTAGAATGCGGGTACAGACTCTGGTACTGATGCTTGTACTAACTATTCACTACCGATTTCGGGGTTGAGGGCTTGGGTTCTAGAGTTTTAGTGTTCGGGGTTGAATGAAGGATTGGGGTCCCAGGGGTTAGGGTATTTGCTGGTTCGGCAGTTTGGATGCTCGCTCTATAGGTTTGGGTTTGTGTTTTGCGGTTTATTGCGCAAGTTCGGGGGTCAGTGAATGGTACAGAAGTATGTGCCTTGGCCCATGCACTCTAGCCTTCGCCTTGTACATCTTCAGACTCAGATGCACATGTTAGTAGAACGCATTGTTTGCGATCGTGTGTTCGTTCCTAGGTACAGACTATGTATAGAATATACATATATAGATATACGCATATGTGTATATATATATATATATATATATATGTATACATATTATATATATGTTTACATATGTATATCTATATATATATATATATATATATATATATATTTATAGGCATATATACACACACACGTAAATGTGGTTAAGTTACAAGGCAGCCACACACATAGCTACACAGACAAACACAAACACACACCCAGACCCACATACGCACGCCCGCAGAGGCAGTATGTGTAGCAAGCGCGTTGGCGAGGCTGCACGATACCCTTGATCCGACGTCCCTCTGGCTCTCTCCCTCCCTCCCTCCCTCCCTCCCTCCCTCCCTGTGTCTCTCTCTCTCTCTCTCTCTTTCTGTGTCTCTCTCTCTCTCTCTCTCTCTCTCTCTCTCTCTCTCTCTCTCTCTCTATATATATATACACATGATTACGCGTCTTGTGTGGGGAGTGAGCGTGGGAGTGAATTACAAACAAAGCGAGACCTGCTGTGCGTGCAAAATGGAGTTGTAATTACAACACAGAGAAAATCACCCACCATAAAGATGCATTTGCACATATGTAAACGTGTGTACGTATTTCTAGATTCTAGATACACACACATACATACGCACATATATATATATATAATATAATCTATATATATATATATATATATATATATATATATATAATCTATATATATATATACAGACAGACAGGAATAGACGTATGTGAATTCCAACCGTATGATACAGCTGCGACCCTCGTTATGGCAATTCCAAAAATTGCACAGGCAGAGAGCTTAGAGGCCGGTCTGGAAGCTCATCGGAAGGCCCGTCTTGATTGGCTTTCGAATTGTGTCTTTGTGTAGGTCTTGGAGTTTTGAGGTTTTGGAGGCCTTTTAGTTGTTAGGTTTAAGGGGTTGGTGGTTTTGTGTTGGCGTTTAGCGTACTGGAGTTTTGTAGTTGGATTTCAGGGTTTTGAGGGTATGAGTTTGGGGTTTCGGGGTCACTCGGTGCGGAGTTTGGGGATGTTTGTTGGAGTTGTGAGTGCTGTGAATGTACAGGTTGTTTTTTGGGGGAAAAGGGTTTTCAGTGTCTCCAAGTGAGCACGAAGCCTGAGCCTCTGAGGGGTTTAGAAGTAGTATAGGTGCCTTAATAATTACCAATACTATTTTGGGGGTTCCTTATCATAACTATAGTATACTGGCCCCAAAAGCCTATTCTAAATAGTAAGGCCCCTATACTAGGTGTTTGGAAGTAGGAAGCGCATGGCATGGCGAATTCGGTGGATCAGCAGCTCTGGTACACAGGTCTACGGGCCGGGTGATTTCATGGAGGGGCTTCGGTTCAGTGTGTGACTGGCCATGGATTGTACTCCACTTGCTTTGGATCCCTTGGTGAGGACGGCCACAAAGCGATGGAAAGCAGAGTGCACGCTTGAACTAAGGCTTAAGCGATGCAGGGATGTTGGGCGTGGACCATATGGGACTTGTCATCTTCCATGTGGGTGGTTATCAAAATTAGGGTCCCTTTTTGGGCCCCTATTAGAATACGGCACCTAATATTTAAGGTGCCCCAAAAAGGGACCCCTAATTGGACAACTACCCATGTAGCATGCTTCGACAAGTGCTCAGCCCGACAGTCCGGACCTTGAACCTTCAATGATGCGCTTTACGAGGTAGGGCTTTGGGACATTATACATTTGCTCTTATTGTGCTTAAGAGGATCTTGCCTACTGGTATTTTTCACAGGCTTCAAAAGCCCTCCTAGTTTATGTATGACTTCGATTTGGGGTCCCTCAACTTTCAACACTGAGAGCGGCAGGCACGAGCAATGAATGCTAAGCCTGAGAGCCTGAAGTACCGACATCCGAAACCCTAAACCCCTTAAACCCTAAACCGCCTCAACCCCCTTAACCTTACATCCGAAACCCTAAACCCTCTAGACCCTAAACCCTAAACCCCCTTAGCCCTAAATCCGAAACTCTACGATGCCAAGCCCAAAACCTTTTGCACGGAGGCCGAGAGCCCGTGGCCAGGCGACAGCAGAAATCGGAGACGATCTCTGTAGGGGAATCATTAGTGGCACTTTTTGTTCTAGCGTTTAGAGCTTTGACGGTTTTTTAGGGTGTAGGGTTTAGGGTTTAGGTTGTGAACGTCAGTCCGTGCTGAAAAGGTTTAGGGTCCAGCGTGAATAATTAGTGGCCCTTTTTTTCTTGGGTGCGTAGGCGGTCTTTGAGATAACCCTGCTTCTAAGCGGCGGTTAAATCAGAGTCCCCCATTTTGTTCATCTCGGCATAACAAATGGAACAGGTACTAGCATACTAGTATGCGTTGTCTACGATGCAACGATGAATATCGCAGGCGCATATACCAGAAACCCAGCACCTGAATGCTAAACGCTGGACAACACAGCTTACCCAGAGACTCCACTATCCATTATTTAAGGAATATGCCTTGAATCATCTTAGGGATCCTACTATACTTTCAGGTATAGTCTTTAGTTGAGGGATATTGGAGTCTCTGGGTACAGCCTGCCCAGTGCCCAGTGGCCGACAAAGAGACCCTAAACCCTAAAGCCCTAAACTCTAAACCCTCCCAATCAACACGCTTCATAAAACAAAAAAAACTAAACCTAGGATGCCCAGTAGTACCCTTATTCCCTTTTGTAGTCCTAGGTTCCTTATAAAGCTACCCAATACCAAAAAGAGAGGCCTTTTTATTCTTAGGTTACTGGGTATCCTAGAAACTCTAAACCCCTAGTAGCCGACAAGGATCCTAGCCCTGGCTTGAGGGGGTTTCAGCCCCGAGACCCTGGCTCAGGCTTTCGGGGTTTTGGGGTTTAACCCTAAACCCTAGATCCCTACATAGACCCTAAACTTCCCACAACTTCAGGGTTGACGTTTTAGTCGAATTTCGTGCTTTTGAGGGAAGACTGTGAAGGATCTTGCGGTTTTGGGATGTGATTAGGGGGCCTTACTAATTGGAGTGGGGTTTTGGTGTACATTCGACTTTCATGGCAATAAGGAGCCCCAAATAATATTGGTGAATATGTTCAGGTCGTAGGTAAAGACCCTACTTGGAGGGTCGGGGGACTTAGTAACTGGTTATTTTGGGGACTTATAAGTACCATAACCCCAATTAGGGTCCCTTTTAGGGTACTTATAAGTCTACTTACTACCTACTTACTAAGTCCCCCGACCCTCCAAGTAAGATTCTAGGACTCCGAGGCAAAACTCCACGTCCCTCATTAGGGTTTCGGGTTACGACGAAAGCCACAACTCCCTGCGACTCTCAAGAGGCTTTCTGGGCTTAGGGTTTAGGGCTTAGGGTTTAGGGCTTAGGGTTTAGGGCTTAGGGTTTAGGGTTTAGGGTTTAGGGTTTAGGGTTTAGGGTTTAGGGTTTAGGGCTTAGGGTTTAGGGTTTTAGGGTTTAGGTTTAGGTTAAGGGTTTAGGGTTTAGGGTTTTAGGGCTTAGGGTTTAGGGTTTAGGGTTTAGGGGCTTTAGGGTTTAGGGTTTAGGGCTTAGGGTTTAGGGCTTAGGGCTTAGGGTTTAGGGCTTAGGGTTTAGGCTTAGGGCTTAGGGTTTTTAGGGCTTAGGCCTGGTTTAGGGTTTAGCGCTTAGGGTTTAGGGTTTAGGGTTCCCTGTCAAACCTCTGCCTAACATCGACGATCACCCTAAACCCTAAACCGCGACAGGCTCCCCCGAGTCAGTGCCTCTGCCTTCCCATCTGCAGCTGCAGGAGTGCGGAACCCGGCCGGCGGGATTAGGGCTTCAGAGTTCGTTACGGGTTGAAAAGAATGATGTTAAATGAGGGTTCTTTCGCGGCTCTTTAGGCCTAGGGATGAGAGTTGCAGGTATGAGGATTCATGGCTTGAACTGTTTGTCATGTGCGCACCTAAAACCTTAAAAAGACCCCAAACCCTAAAAGATCCCGAAGGCACTGAAACCAAAAAACTTCAAAG